CCTTCTGTGTACTACATGATCCAGTGATGCTGGCTTCCTTGTTCCTCACAAACAATACTCCATTTCCCAGTTCTGGACATTTTCACTGACTATCCCCTAAACTTGAAATCCTCCTCATTTCCTGTCTCCTGACTTCATGGACTTCCTTCTGCTAAAATCCCACCTTGTACCTAAAGCTTTTCCCTGCCTACTTAATATTAGTGTTTTCTTCTGTTGATTGTATTCTTTTTATTCTATACATATCTTCTTTGTACGTAGTTGTCTACGTGTTGTTTCCCTCATTAGTGAGCTCCTTGAGACTGTTTTTTTGCCTTTCTTGTAATCCCCAGCATTTAGCATGTTGCTTAAATAAATCTGTGTTAATTGGTTGACTGAAGCAATCCTTTGATATTTTAGCATGATACTGACCAATTCATTTATAAATTGATATTCAGTAAAAACATAAATATGAATAATATAAAAATTAATTTATATAGTAGTATTGTCTTTTTATATATATTACTATGGACTATGAATTATTTTTCCTTTTATTAGACTGCCTGTATTTCTAGAAATGTTTTTTTGGGGGGGTAGTTGTAGTCATATTATTCCCATTTGCATTTTGGTAGATAGGCTCCCAGATATTTGGTCTAATGTAGTTATTTTCAGTTTAAATTCTTTTTCTCTTCCTTCTGGGTTTTTGTTGTTAATATATGAAGAGGTTAATGATTTTTATGGGTTTATAATCTACTGAAGTTATTGTTTTAGTTTTGTTAAATCTCTAGCATTTTAAAAAAGTAAAACATCATTTGCAAAAATTGATAATTTTCTTTTCTGTGTATGCATTTTTTTTCGGTTTCTTTATCTTGTTTTCTAATAGGTAGCATTTCTAGAACTATATCAAACAATGATGATGACATTGGACATCCTTGTTTTTAAATCCTAAGCTAATTGCAGAGGCCTCTAGCATTTTTTGATTATAGGTCATCTTATTTCTTGTTTTTAGAAAGATATTGTTTACTGTATTAAGGAAAAGTCCATTTACTCCAATGTTTTGTTTTGTTTTTTGGGGAATTGGGTTAAGTGACTTGCCCAGAGTCACACAGCTAGTAAATGTTATGTGTCTGAGGCCGGATTTGAACTTGGGTCCCCCTAACTCCAGGGCTGGCTCTCTATCCACTGCACCACCAAGCTGCCCCCCAATTTTTTTTAAAAGAAATGAATGGGTGTTTTGTCATTTTTCTGTATCTGTTAATATAATCATGATTTTTATTGGTCTTGTTTTTGATGAATGAGTAGAAAAGTTTAATTTGTGCCAAGCCCTATGCTAAATACAGTCCCTTTTCTCAAGGAGCTTACATTGTAACTGACATTATAATCATATAGCAGAGTGCAGCTGCAGGCATATGGCAGGTCCATGAGTACTTAGAGTACATTTAAATGTCAGATGGTACTGTCTAGGAGCCTTGAAAGGGTGTAGTGTCAGGGTAGATGATAGATAGGCCAGTGGTCTTCCATTTTATGGGAAGAATTATAGTTGTTGACTCCTAGCTAATTCAAGCAGTGTGAGTGATAGTGGTGACCAAGAAGCCTTGATCTTACTGGAATAGGCCTCTAGCATTTCTCCATTATAGAAAATGTTGCCTTTTGAAAATCAAGGCTATTTACTGCTATCTATTTATTCTTCTTATGATTATTTTTTACATAAATAAGTGTTGTATTTTGTCAGTAGATTTTTTGTACCTATTAATAAAATCATGGGCTTTTAAAATTGTTTTTTATATTATGTGTTTATAGTCTTCCTAATATTGAACTAACATTGACTTCTTAATTAAATCTAAAGTTCCTTTCCATATAGTCACTACCTAAGGGTGCTAGTTCTGTTCCCAGCGTAACTGTGGTGAATTTGAATATTCCTCTGGTCATGGGAAATGAGTAAATTGAGAGGTTAGAGTAATTGAGGAAATTTCCATGTTCCTTAGTCATGTGAACCTGCCATTGAGGAAGAAAGGATAGTGTCCTGGAGATCTCTAGACAATTGCTATCGGGATCTTGATTGGATGATAAATATAGATTGAATGAATCACAAAAAGAAAGAGAAGTTACTGAGTATTGGTGGTAGAGGGAGAACCTGGAAATGGCAGTGACAGTCCTGCTCCATGACCAGTGAGTCAGAGGTTATGATTTGAAGTGCAACCCAGTGCTCCCATCTTACCTCTGTCTCTTAGTAAGTCCTGCCTTTAAAGTTTAGCTTAGGTTTCTCTAGAAAGCTTTTCCTTATTCTTCATTTCCCTTCCAAACTTTCACCCTCCCTCCTACCCCAAACTACCATTCATTAGTCCTAACTACCATTCATTAGTATTTTCTCCTCAGATTATCTTGAATTTTCTTCTCTTTAGCATGTAAAATGTAATTTCTTCAATGGCAGGGAATTTTTTTTGTTTGTTTTTGTAGCCACAGGTAGGGATAACAGGTACTTGAAGTGAAATAAATTGAAATAAATTTCATAGTGTCTTTAGAGATTATGTAGTTTGACACCTTCATCTTACATGTTATAAAATTGCAGTATAGAAGTTTAGTGACATTCCATCAGCTTCCCTGCTTGGCTTGATTCCACACAGCAACATACCCTCCTCCCAGTATAGGTTGATCCTCCTTACCGGGAAGCATGACTCGGGTTTTGATGCTGTACACTTTCTCAATTCACCTTAAGTTGCCTCTTCCCTATGGGGGAGGGTTAGAGGGCAGAGCAGTAACCTTCTCCCCAAGCCTTCCTTCCCTCATAACCTTCCTAGTATCAGCTGCTCTGTTTGACTTTGACTCCATGGAACAGTATCTCCTTCCCCACCCCCCTCCCAGGTAGCCTCTGAATTTTCCTTTCCTCCTCTTCAGTGTCTTTTTGTATCTTGTCTTTCCCCATTAGACAATAAACCCCTTGAAGACAGGGACTGTTTCTTTTTCTTATTTGTATTCCCGGAGCTTAGCTCAATGCTTGGCATGCAATAGATCCTTAATAAATGTTTGTTGGGGTAGTTAGGTGGGAGAGCAGTGCTGGGCCTTGAGTGTGGAAGACTCATCTTCCTGAATTGAAATGTAGCTTCAGACACTTAATAGATGTTTGACCCTGGGCAAGTCATTTAACCCTGTTTGCCTCAGTTTAAGTTATCTGTGAAATAAACTGGAGAAGGAAATGGCATGCCACTCCAGTATCTTTGCCAAGAAAACCCTAAATGGGGCTGTGAAGGCTCAGACACAACTGAAAAACGACTGAAAAAATGTTTAGTGAATTGTCCAAAACCAATTAGTGAAGAGATCTAGTGCTGGAACTCAGGCCTACTGATTTTGTTGAGGTTCAGGGGTACTGGGACCCCAAATTCACAATTTCTCGGGTCCTGTCCAAAAGAATTTAACCTAAATCTTTCAGCCAAAGACAAGGTTTATTAGAGTATCCGACTTATTGGGCAGACTCTTAAGGAGTCTGAATATTAGTGAGTTATTGGCTAGATTCTAAGAATCTAAGCACCTTAATGGAGACAAGATGGACTTTATATACAGAAAGACTGGGGGAGAAATCTTGGAGTGGCCAAGTAGTTTGGGGTGACTAGAGGAGGGGTCTAAGGAGATCTGGATGGGAGTGGCCAGTAAGCTGGGGTGAACAGAACTCCTGGGACCTGGATTATGGAGCCTACCTAGGATTAAGTGTGGGAAATGGCCTGGGGCCTTAGGGAGGTAAGACAATGGAGGGGAGACTGGGTGTAGCCCAGTGAAAGGCCAGTTGATGGGATTATGGCCTCAGGCCAAAAGCCAGAGATTTGACCATGTGGGAAAGTCCAGGCTTTTTCCTTTCTGGGGTCCAGATCCCAACCCCATCATTTCCCCCTCAAACAAATGGGACCCAAATTCTTTTGGGGTAAGAGGCCAAGGTCTCAGCTTCTGAAACTGCTTCCTGCTGGCAAGGGGTGTAGAGCTGTCTCTGCCTTGAGGGGGTCCCCAAGAAGAGGATTGACTGGAACCGAGCATAGGCAGCATCCAGGGAATGATTTGGGGACGTTGGCTGGTGCCCACTGTTTGCTATCAACTGTAGGTGAACGGCCTGTAGTCTGAAAGGCACAAATCTGATAGAAAAACTGCAGGGCTCTGTTTAGATTGAGATAATTCAGTTTTCCAACCATGCTGTATCAAATCCACCTATGAGCCAGACTCAGGAATAGCCTAGTGGGTAACATTCCTTTTCAAAGGAACATGATGGGGAAACTGAGCCAGGAGGATCTCATCTTAGACTGAGTCCTCTCAGCTTTTCCCCTATGCTGACCTCCCACCAGTATCACATTATCTTGGAGTAGCTTGTGGCATTTCTCAGATAGTGGATTATTGATGTATCTATCGATGGATTATTAATTATGATCCATTAGACAACTCAAAATAAAATCATGAGCTTTTTTTACCTCAAACAGCAAGTTTCACTAATCACAGCTTAGGAAAAACTTTTCCAGGATTTACATCTCAAATTTAAATTTGTCCTGTTATAAAAAGCCAATCATTAGAGAGTATTTCTATATACTTGCAAATTCTCAGCAAATCAAAACCCAAACAAGCTTTTTGGCAAGTTTACACATCAAAACAATAACCAACAATAGCCAAATTATTTTAGCAGTAACCAAATTATGAAAAGTTACTTGACATGATTACTTGATACCAAACAACTTTCTTCCATACTTCTTCAGGAACATGGGGAGGTCTGGTGCGCAGAGGGAAAGGTGAGGTAGGAGGCTTAACTAGAGAATATTGGCTCCCCAAATTCACCATCAGGTCCCTTCCCAACAAAGGGGCAGGGCCAGAGGAGAGCATAAGTAGGGAGTGTTCAAACAACAGATCCTCAAATAGGCAGGGGAGAGGGTATGTCTTGTGACATCCTTTAGTTTTCCCTTCAGTGCCCATGACCTGACAGGTTGAGGGATGAGCTGGGCCAGGGTAATTAGTTAGAATGGAGAACATAGCCATATTAAAGTGGGTAACTTTACCTTCAGCCTTGATTTTTGCCCAGGACTTTGCCAGAGAGATGGAGAAAGCTGGAGTGCTATCAAGCCCCAGGCTCCCTTGTCATTCCCAGTCTTGAGAAGACTGCAGGATGGGATACTCCTGACTTCAAGCCTAGCACTCTATCCACTTTGCCTCTAGATCTCCTTCATAGAGCACAATAGTATTCCATCACAATCATGTACTACAACTTGTTCAACCATTCTCCAATTGATGGACATTCCTTCTATTACCAATTCTTTGTCATCACAAAAAGAGCTGCTACAAATAGTTTTATACAAATAGGTCCTTTTCCCTCTTTTTTCTTAATCTCCTTGGTATACAGACCTCTTAGTGCTATTACTGGGTCAAAGAGTATGCACAGTTTTGGGCATACTTCCAAATTGCTTTCCAGAGTGATTGGATCAGTTTACAACTCCACCAACAGCGTATTACTGCCCCAATTATTCCACATGCTCTCCATCAGTTGTCATTTTCCTTTTCTGTCATATTAGCCGATCTGTTAAGTGTGAGTTACAACTTCATACAACAACTTCATGGTTGTTGGGGTTTTTTTTAAAGTATTTATTTATTTTTAGTTTTCAGCATTCACTTCCAGAAGATTTTGAGTTTTAACTTTTCTTCCCTGACTTTTCTTTCCCCCAAGACAGCATGCAATCTGATATAAGCTCTATTTGTACATTCATATTAAATATATTCAGAGTTGTTTTAATTTTTATTTCTCTAATCAGTAGTGATTTATAACACTTTTCCATATGACTATATTTTTGATTTCTTCTGAAAACTACCTGTTGATATCTTTTGACCACTTATTGATTGGGAAATGACTGGTATTCTTATAGATTTCACTCAGTTCTCTATGTATTTGAGAAATGAGGTCTTTATCAGAGAGGCTGCCTATAAACTTTCCCCCCCAGTTTTTTACTTTCCTTCTAATCTTGGCTGCATTATTTTGTTTAATTTAATCAAAATGATCTTTTTACTTCCTGTGATTCTATTTCTTGTTTTGTCATAAATTCTTCCCTTATTCATAGGTCTGACAGATAAGTTATTCCTTGCTCCCCTATTTTGCTTATGTAATCACCCTTTATGTCTAAATTATGTACTTATATTGATATATGATGTGAGATGTTGGTGTATACCTATGTTGGTGTATACCTGGTTTCTGCTTTACTTTCCCAGCAATTTTTGTCAAATAGTGAATTATTGTCCCAAAATCTTGGATCTTTGCATTTATCAAACATTAGATTACTGTGGTAATTTACTACTATATATTGTGTACCTACTTTATTCCACTGATCTACCACTCTATTTCCTAGCTAGTACCAGGTTGTTTTGTAATACAATTTGAGATCTGATACGGCTAGGCCATCTTCCTTCACATTTTTTTTCCCCCTGTTGATTCCCTTAATATTCTTGACTCTTTCTTCTTCTGGATGAATTTTGTTATTCTTTTTTCTTGCTCTATGAAGTAATTTTTTGGAAGTTTCATTATTATAGCATTGAGGAAGTAAATTAATTTAGGTAGAATTTTCATTGGCTCAGCTTACCCATGAGCAATCAATATTTCTTCAGTTGTTTAGATCTGACTTTGTATGAAAAATGTTTTGTAATTGTGTTCCTGTAGTTCCTGAGTTTATCTGGGCAGATAGACTCTCAGGTATTTTATGTTGTCTGGAGTTATTTTGAATGGAATTTCTTTATCTCTTCTTGCTGAACTTTGAAATGCTGATGATTTATGTGGGTTTCTTTTGTAGCCTGCAACTTTGCTAGAATTGTTAATTATTTTAAGTAGTTTTTTAGCTGATTCTCTAGGATTTTCTAAGTATCATCATATTATCTGCAAAGAGTGATACTTTTGTTTCCTCACTGCCTATTCTAATTCTTTTAATTTCTTTTTCTTCTCTTACTGCTATAGCTAGCATTTCTAGCATGATATTGAATAGTAGTGGCAATAATAGGTATGTTTGCTTCACCCTGATCTTATTAGCAAGGTTTCAAATAATGCTTGCTAGATAGATACTTAAAGCTCCATTTATTCCTGTGCTTTCTAGTGCTTTTAATAGGAATGAGAGTTGTATTTTGTCAAAAGTTTTTTTTGCATCTAATGAAATAATCATATGATTTTTGTTGGTTTTGCTACTGATATGGTCAATTATGCTAATAGTTTTCCTAATATTGAACCAGCACTGCATTCCTGATACAAAATCTCACCTGGTCATAGTTTGTGATCTTTGTATTATGTTGTTGTAATCTCCTTTCTAGTATTTGATAATTTTTGCATCAATATTTGTTAGGGAAATGCTTCTATAATTTTCTTTCTGTTTCTTCTCTTCCTGGTTTAGGTAATAGCACCATATTTTAATCATAAAAGGATTTTGGTAGGACTCATTCTTTGCCTATTTTTCCAAATAGTTTTTATAGTGTTTGAATTAAATTGTAATTTAAATGTTTGGTAGAATTCACTTGTGAATCCTTCTGGTCCTCGGGGTTTGCTTTTTCAGTTTCTTTTTCCAAGAGAGGGTTATTTAAGTATTCTATTTCCTGTTCTCTTAATCCAGGCAATTTATATTTTTGTAAATAATAATCCATTTCACTTAGACTGTCAGAGTTATTGGCATATAATTGGGCAAAATACCTCAATTTCCTCCTCATTGGTGATGAATTCACCCTTTTCATTTTTTATGCTGGTAATTTAATTTTCCTGTTTCTTTTTAAAAATCAAATTAACCAATGGTTTATCTACTTTGTTGATTTTATATTTCTTTTATGAACAGTAGCCAACCCATGAGAAATTCATGGACTTGAATTGTGTATCATAGCCAGTACTTCAGATTTGGAAAATGAATATGCTTTCTTGCCTTTAAATAAATGAATGATCTTGTGACTAATTTCAGTCAGTCAATAAGTATGTGTTAAGTACTTACTATATGCCAGGTACTGGCATACAAATAAAGGCAAAAACATGGTCTCTGTCCTCAGGGAGCTCCTAATCTAATGTGAGAGGTAACATGTAAATAATTAGAAACAGACAGAATATATACTAAATGGATAGAAAGTAATATAAGAAAGGAAGATAAATACCTAGGTAGAGTGGGAAAGGCCTCTTGAAGAAGCTAGGATTTAAGGTGAGTCTTAAAAGGAGTTTGGATAACAAAGATACAGAGGTGAAGAAGCAGTAAACGTCAATCTCCCCCCCAACCCCCCCTAAGATTATATTTAGTTTCCTGAGTAGCTTATTCTTGGTTGTAAAGCTAGTACTACAACTAGTAAAGCTAGTATTACAGCTAGTATTTGTCTTCTGGAATATCATATTTCAAGTCCTTAGCTCTTTTAGCTGCTAAATCTTGTATGATGTTGACTGTGGCTCTACAGTAGTTGAATTTTCCTTTTTTTTCCCCCCTCTGCTGTAATAGGTTTTTGTGCCTTTTCCTGTAATGTAATTTACCCTTGTCTGTCTCTTCCTTTCCTTTTCTCTCAGTACATTTCCTTAGATCGGATCAATCCAGTTATTTGGATCCATTTAACCCACTTGATTAGAATTTTTTTTTAATATTACATCAAAGTCAATTTATACCTACTCTGTTTATGTATACCCCTTTAACATGGTGTAATAACAGTGCAGTTCTCAAGAGTTACAAGTGTTATCTTCCCTTGTAGGGATGTAAAACAGTTTGCCCTTATTAATAATATGTTGTATCTTTCTGTTCCATTTACTTTTTTATATCTCTCTGGAGTCTTGTATTTGAAGATCAAATTTTCTGTTGAGTTCTGGTCTTTTTATCAGGAAGGTTTGGAAGTCCCCTATTTCATTGAATATCCATCTCCTTCCCTGAAAGATCATGCTAATATTCGATGCTTAGTTGATCCTTGGTTGTAATCCAAGCTCCTTTGCCTTATGGAATATCATATTCCATGCCCTACAGTCTTTTAATGTAGCAGGAGCAAGGTCCTGCATAATCCTGACTGTGGTTCCATGGTATTTAAATTGTGTCTTTCTGGCTGCTTGCAGTATTTTTTCTTTGACCTGGTAATTTTGGAATTTGGCTACTATATTCCTTGGCATTTTCAATTTGGGATCTCTTTCAGGAGGTGATTGGTGGATTCTTTCTATGGCTATTTTACCTTCTGGTTCTAGGACCTCAGGGCAGTTTTCTGTGATGATTTCCTGAAAGATACTGTCCAGGCTCCTTTTTTCATTTGATTTTCAGGTAGACCAATAATTATTAAATTGTCTCTCCTGGATCAGTTTTCCAATGAGTTGTTTTACCAGTGAGGTATTTTATGTTTTAATCTATTTTTTTCATTCTTTTATTTTTGTTTCACTGATTCTTGCTCTCTAATAGAGTCATTAGCTTCCATTTGCCCAATTCTAATTTTTAACAAATTGTTTTCTTCTATTAGTTTTTGTACTTCTTCCTCATTTGGCCAATTGTATTTCTTTTCTTTTCTTTTCTTTTCTTTTGCTTTTTGGTGAGGCAATCAGGGTTAAGTGACTTGGCCAGGGTCACACAGCTAGTAAGTGTCAAGTGTCTGAGGCTGGATTTGAACTCAGGTCCTCCGGACTCTAAGGCTAAAGCACTATCCACTGTGCCACCTAGCTGCCCCCTGGTCAGTTGTACTTTTTAGCGACTTGTTTTCTTCAGTGTACTCTTTTTGCAGTTGGCCAATTGTATTTTTTAAGGACTTGTTTTCTACAGTTAATTTTTGTCCTTCCTTTTCCAAGCTATTGATTCTCTCTTGCATATCTCTCATTTCTTTTCCCATTTTTTCTTCTACCTCTCTCATTTGACTTTTAAAATTTTTCTTGAGCTCTTCTAAGAAGGCTTTTTGGGCTTCAGACCAGTTCATATTCCCTTTTGAGGTTCCAGATGTGGGTTTGTTGACAATGTTGTCCTCTTCAGAAGTTCTGCCTTGATCTTCACTCTTTCCGTAATAAGAATCTAACGTACGTTTCTTTTTGCTTATGTTGTTTGCTTATTTCCTGGCCTTTAAAGAGACTGAGCTCTCCTGATGGGGAGCAGAGGGCACTGACCCAAGCTTCTTGTG